CCCCATGGCTGAAAAGGTGAGCATGTTTGGTGGGACAGGGATTCGAACCCGCGACCCTCAGATTGCGAATCGAGCACCCTAACCACCTGGTCATGCCGGGCCCAGGATACTTTTTTACTCTGAATAAAGTAAATTTCAGGATGGATACTTGTACTTGAGTAACGTTTTGACAAAGTACTTGTATTTGAACTTGAATAACATATTTTAGTACTTTCTAAACCCCTGATCAGAACATAAAATGTTGGTTTAATGGAACGTTAGTGACTGTTTAAATATCACCTGATGAAGGCCTTATGCTTAAAACATTTTGAATAAATCATCTTCTAGATTAACATCTTTCTAGTGTTACCATTTTTTTTTATAATCTAAGGTCTTGGTTGATATTAGAAGAAAAATTTGTTTATGTTGTAAAAAATACATAAGCAGAAGGGCATCTATTATTCATACACCAAGATCTATTATTTGCATTTCAGCAATAACTAAAAACTATAAAAACTATCAGTTAGGACACACTTATTCTGGTACAATACCTGTCAATAGAAAGAAATGACCAAAAAAATACAATCAATTCCCAACTATCTACAAACACATCTATCAAATATATAAAACAATTTAAAGACATGTTTTATACATTCCTTCAGTTATCAATTACATGTATACACTATATACATCTTAGACATATATCAACAAAATGCAAGTATTACCAATTAGCAGACATGACATACAAATTCAATATTTACCACTCACAAATAATTCTATCCATGCATGTACTAATAATTAGCTGTCAATATGTATTTATATATTACTTAGCTCTCATATCAAAAATAAGCATCAAACAATAGTATAGCACTTTCAAGTCACTGTGCATACCAGTGATACAGAGTCATTACTGTACTACTTATAACATGTTCTTAATTAGTTATCATACAAAAAATAAGTAGCCATAATGTGTTACTTATCTATCACATCAACATTAAGCATTCATTTTGTATTGTTTAGCTCTGAGAACAAGAATAAGCAGCCATACAGTGTTAGATAGCTGCAAAACATTAATTAAATAGTCATCCAGTATTAGCAGTAACACATACATAAAGCAGTTATATAATATTAGCTGTCAAACCCAACAAAAGCTAGTCATATGCTTTAAATACCACTTAGCTATCACTTACATAACTCAAATAAGTTCATACAATATCTTCACCATGAGGACTGTACTTTTAATGGAACAGCAGAAGCAAATGAGGCAAGATTCCACATTCACAACAGAATGTTCAAAATGAATTCCACAACTGTTAAACAGGTTCAGATACAAAATTTCATGAATTTGTTTTTAAGAGTTTTCACAGTTAGGCACCCACTACTTCGTGCTTTTCAACTCCAAATAATATTACTTCATCTTATTTTACTAGTCTACCCTTGATGAGAAACCATTGCGCAATATACGTATTTTGGAAAATCGTGAAAAAATATATTCCAATTATGTTATAAAAGTCCACTATTCCACCATTCATCATAAAAACGACTATAAAAATGCAACTTACTTAATATACAAGAAGTAGTACCAACAACACAGCAATAAAATATTATATGAACTGCCTCAAAAATAGAAAATAAAGAAACAACAAACTTACCTATTTGTATGAACCTTAATAGTATCTCCTTTGTATGACATAGTCACAGAACCAAATATCATCTCACCAAGCATTTTAACATCAGAACAAGGCTCAAGGTACTGTAGACATCAGGGATAGAAGTATATAATGTTAAAGTTGTTTTTAATAAGAGGCAACATATTATTATAAAAGATACTGCTCAGATATTTCTCTTGAACCACTATATCTATTACAGCTCAAAACAGATTAAATTACATTGGGTTTGTATATGGATATATATATATATATATATATA